CGGCACTCACACACAGTGACACACACATGTAACCCAGCACTCACACATGGTGCCGCACACATGTAACCCAGCACTCACACATGGCGACACACATGTAACCCAGCACTCACACATGGTGACACACATGTAACCCAGCACTCACACATGGTGACACACACATATAACCCAGCACTCACACATGGTGACACACACATGTAACCGGCACTCACACAAAGAGGTAAGGAGTGTCACTAAAGGGTGGGGCTAGCCTGGTCTAATACAGGGAGTTCCAGGCCAGCCAGGGCTACCCAGGGACACCGCAGCAAAACAACACAAACATGGCTGGAGTTTGGAGCCCCAGAACTCATGTTAGAGCCGGGCGGGTGCAGCGGCCACCGGTACCCCAGCCGGGCGGGTGCAGCGCCCACCCATACCCCAGCTGGGCACAGCAGCCACCTGTAATCCCAGTGCTCAAGGGCAAGATGGCTAGGGCGACTAGCCAGAATCAGCCAACGCTAGGTTCAGTGAGAGTCCCTGACTTGATTTAAAAAAAAAAAGAAAAGTGGAGAGGTATTGAGGAAGACACCCAATATCAACCCAGGCCTCCATGGGCATGAGCACAAATGTACACATGCATCCACACACACCTTCACACGTGACCCCACATGTATATGTATGTGTATATATATCCCTCAAGCACAAACAAGCCAAGAAATTTTGAGGGAAAAGAAAGAACAAGAGATGATAAATCAGATCGCTGATGAAAATAGGTTTAAAAATAAATAGATATTGCCAGGTGCGGTGTCTATAATCCCAGGGAGGCAGAGGCAGAAAGATCAGGTATTCAAGGTATTTTTAGTAAGAGTTCAAGACCAGCCTTGGCTACACCAGACCTATGGACTCTCATATACTCTATGGCAAAAACAAACTGGCCATGATGGCACAGGCCTGTGTAAGTTCAGGGCCAGCCTAGACTACACCCTGAGGAGTGAGTCCCTGGTCAAGGGTGTGACTCAAAAGAAGGAGGGAGGCTCTTTAGTCCGTTGTCAGCATGCTTTCCTTTCCTCACAGACTTTAGTTATGGGTCAGTGTCCACAGACAACAGAGGGCAGCGGGTCCCCTGGGGCCAGACTTCCCAGCAGTTGTAAGCCGTCCAATCAGGTGCTGGGACCTGAACCCAGGTCCTCTGCAGAGCAGTATTTGCTCTTAATCCCC